CACATAACACCAAATGTAGTATAAAATAAAGTTCAAATTTCATGAAGCATTTTGGTAAAAATATCAAAATAAAGCTTATAGAAATGAATCAATTGAAAGGCAGGTTTTGATGTTACCCAAACACCTTCTAATCTACAGTACTTAAATTAAGTCATCAGTTGCGTGTTTTGCGCAGATGTCATTGCAAAACTTTTACAATCGACTTGATCTTACTTCATCACCTTCAACTCAAGGATAAATGGAGAGCAGCCAATAGAAGATAACTGCAAAAGTACTTAAGTACTGCATAACTTGAAATATCTGATTTATTGTTTTGGAGTGGTATCAGACAGGCAGCAATAAAAATTTTCAAATAAAGATAAAAAGATGTGTAAAAATTGCAGTTAAGGCAGGAACACTCTGTTTAATTTTATTTTCTTTACAACATAAGCCTTTTCAGCCAATATTTTCTATAAGTATCACATTCTTTTAATAGTGTTAACTGGTCTATGGATTTACATTTCTAATAATCGCAGTAAAATTGCCATTTAGTGACTGTAAAACAACTGATTTATGTCCTACCATGCAAACATGAAAAAAAATTGTTAAACTAAATATGATTAATTAAATGCCAGAAACGGTTGCCTTATTTTTTTCTCTCTCTGTTCCACAGAGATAAAAGGAAGCGCTATATGTAACCGCCTGGGACCTAGGAAGCCAGATACTGGTGGGAACCTGGCAAGCCATAAGAATGTACCGTTCCACCAAATGGCAGCGTTCTGTGGCACTCATGGCCTTAGTCAATCTGTTCCCCACTCAATGAACGGTTGTACTGAAACTGAAATTTCGATTGCAATGTAAATTGTAGTTAACAGTAAAGAAGTTTGATTGATTGATTGAAACGGTTGCCTTATTTTTTCAGTGCTCCGGAGGCTCAGCAGAGAGAAAGAAGGTTGTGCAAATGAGAGAATTGGTCTCCCTATTCACTCAGTGAAACGACCAGAGCTGGGTAGAGAATTGCTTAAACGTGTCCTCAAGTGAGAGTAGAGTTCATTCATCATGCAATTACCTTAGTCCAAGTAAAATCGAAAGTAAGATAAGATAAGAATTCCTTAATTCCCTTTTCAAATCTTGGAAACCAAGTCCAGTGGATATTTTTTGATTTTTTTACGGAAAAACTTAATTCCTTTCATTTAGAAAAATTACAAAGTATATTGCAGGAAGAATATGGTGTGAAAACGAACTCAAGTAAAGAGTTAGGTAGAGGTTGGTAATTTGTTTCTACCTACCTCTGCTCAGATCTTCCTCCAAAACTGTTACAGCTCCATTAGCTTCCAGTTACCCTGTTTTATATAGTACAGGCTTGCTGAAGCTTGGAGTGCACTCAAGTTTTATTCAACTGTTTTCACTTAGTTTCCAATCAGATGCTAGTCCGGTACCAGGGTCTGGCATCAACCTGTCAGCACATTAAGGTCAAAGCTACACTGAATTCAAAATAAAGTTGGAGTGGATAGTGGCACATGTTTGGGCCGGGCACTGCTCTTCCGATTAGTATTGTTCATTCCATAGAAAAACAATTCTTACAGGTTGTACCTTGTAGAGAAAATGACTAATGGGGTTTTCCAAACTCAAAAAGCAGTTTTAATGTTATTCAAAAGAGTTTATTGGGTACTTCACAGGTAATTCTCCACCCACGACAAACTGACAAATTTATTATCAAGGTCGTTTATAACACAATACAAGAATATCAGACTCTTAGCATCAAAATATGAAGAAATTCTGGATTATACTAGTACTGTATAACTATCTGAGTTATTTTATAAAGAAATCTATGCGTCAGGAGAGGCTGATGTCATCAGAGCTATTTCAGGCAGAAGCAGGGTAAAACTTAAATTTACTTGGTTAAAGCTCCAACAAGCTCATTGCTGAAGAAAGGTAAATGAAATGTCAACTTCTTGATCGCAGATTGAAGGAATAATTCACATGCAGTTTGGTGTCTAAAATGCTCGACAGCAATGCATCAAATTGAATAAGTGAAAATCTGTTTCTATCTTTGTTCTAGGCATAATGACTTTCTTTTTGTCTAATCTTTTGGTAATTTTCATACCCTCAAACCTAAAAAATTTGAATCCCTTTCTGTCTGTTAAAACTTTTTTAATGCAAATATAATCAATTTACATGTCAAGCGTTGACAATTATTCAACTGCATTACCCCTTACAGAAACAGATAGCTAGCACAGGTGTGTTTATTCAACAACACAAAGGAAGCATCATTTACTTAACTTTTTCTTACTGCTTTTTATGCAGCTTAACTCACGATGCAAAAATATCAGTTATTTTAGAAGAAATACAGCCTGTAGTGATAATTTAAAGTTTCAATGTAAACTATGAATGCAGCAGAAAATATACATTTGTTTCCTGACATTAAATCAGGCAAATAAATTGATGAAAATTAAAATAAAAAATGTATGTTTAAGGCTGCCTTTGACTGTGCTGCATTACTTTAAGTTTGCAGTCAAACTTTCTTTTGTGTTATTATCCATCAACTATGTATTTCTTTAAATACTCCTACCATTAAAAAAAATTTTCTTGTGAAATATTCGTTTAATTAAACACTTGAATACTAATCCTTTAATCTCAGAGTTTGACCGTTATGTTTGTTGCATGTACAGAAACTTGAATTGTCTTGCTACCGAAATGTGCTGTATAAATAAACTTGCCTTGCCTTCTGTTAGCAAAACCATAGTTAATTATTTAAGCTAAATGCTAGAAAAATAGAGGGAGAATATGTACATATATTTTTTACCTTTCTTCAAATTCAGAGATGTCATTATCTGGCAGGCTTGCTTTCCAATCTCTGTGGCTATATAATTTGGTTGTGATTTGAAAATCATCTCACAATAGCTTGTGGAGTTTTAGCCCATTCCTCCCCACAGAAAGGCTGTAACATAGTCAGGTTTGGAGGCCACACTTACTAGTGTGCAGCAGAGATAAAAGCTTTTGATAGCCACTTAAAAAAAGAAACATTCTTTAAACTTATTTGGCTCTCTAAGACCCATTTATAACAAAACCTAAATTTCTCTTAGATCTATCTTGAGATGTTCCTTCAGTAATTTTACCAAATGTTTTTTTTCCCCCTGCTTTGTGAAAGGCACCAGTCCCTTGTAGACCAAAGCACCCTTTATAGCCTGATGAAAAAACATGTAAACCTAACAGTAACAGTTGTGATGGTGCTCTCAAAAAACACATTCTTCCTTTTTTTCCCTTAAAAATCAATAACTATGTTTATGACGACCAAATGAATATCTTCCAATTTCAAAGTCCTTGCCCTTGTATGCATTTCCAATATAAAATGATGATGTTTTCCTTCTCACAGTGAGGCTCATGTCTGTATAAGACTTGTTTTGGCAGAATGTTCTACATCTGCTGCATCTGCATTTGCTTCCCTAAGTTGTTATAATACTTTTCTGAACAATTATCATTTTCATATATTTTTTTGGCATTTACAAAACTATAATGTTTTTTAAAACCTATATTTTTAAGATTGACTGCTTTTTACTTTACTTTACTACTTATTTTTATGGCGACTTTTTACTTCTACTCCTTACATTTTTACACAAATATCTGTACTTTCTACTCCTTACATTTTAAAAAATTGGCTCGTTACTTTAGTTTTGAATCATTTCAATGGAGTTACCGTTATTATTTTTCACGTCATCAATACCAAATTCAATCTCATTGGATGGGAATCTACATTGCATTTGACGCACCACTACAAGATGAATCGACAGATTCGGCGGTATTCATTCGCGGCAAATCATTGCAGCTTGGTGGCGGTGGCGTTAGCATAGTAGCATGGACGACGAGATGATTGAAAATGAACACAACGGAGATCTAGTCCTATTGGCAGACATCCATTTAAAATGTAGGCAACGGCATGAAAAAAGTGGTTTCTACTTTTACTTTTATACTTTAAGTAAATTTACAAGCCTGTACTTTGTTACTTTTACTTGAGTAAAGAAGTTTAATCAGTACTTCCACTTTTACCAGAGTATTTTTTAACACAAGTATCTGTACTTTTACTCAAGTACGGAAAGTGAGTACTTTTGCCATCTCTGACTGCTTTAAAAAAAACGTGAACTATATATTTTTATGTTATGTAGATATGATTTATTTCTCACAGAGAATTATATGAATAAGTTTATTTTCCCTTAGTGGAATTTCACAAGCAAAGGAGGACAAAGAAGGAGAGACAGGAGAGAATAGCTTCAGGTGTGCATATGTCAGATAATCCCACCTCATACGTCTGAGCAACACTCTCGAGTAGGAAGTAAGGATGATTTTATTGATTTATAACTTATTCCTCTGGCTGCTCTTGTTACCTTATACTCAGTATATACTTTTTAACACAGCCGGAGTAGACCTTTAACATTTTAGTCTAATAAGGAACGGGAGTGCTGTGATTTGATCAGTTCATCTATTTGGACTTGTCAAAAGCCTTGTTTTCCTTGTAACTGTGGGGTACTGTGGAGTTTCTTGTGCTTAAGCCTGCACTCTTATGTGTGCTCAGTTCACTCATGGAGTAATACATTATGTATGTGTTTGTCTATAATGTGTGTCTAGTATTGGAGGGTGGGGCAAAGGGCTTAAGAAGTTGATGGTCAAGATGGGGGCAGGAGGGGGTGTTTGTGAGGACCTCATCTCCCAGGGGGCCTGGATGAGCCAGAAACCTGAGCTCCAGTCTGTTAAGACAGGGATGAGAACACGTGAGACTCTGGCACATGGTGGCTAAGGTTACCTTCTCTTACTCTGAACTTTTGGCCCAGGTGGCAAAACCTCCCCACCCAATATTACTCCGGTCTTGCTCCACCTACCTCCATTTCTTCTCCCAGTATAGCAGATTATATTTAATTTCATGCAGCTCATATCCTATATGTTAATATTTTACCATGGTTCGAGACTAATCAACTTCAAATTGATTAATTTTTCAATAATTATGTGTTTGCTGTCTGTCTCTTCAGACAAAAACCTGGCTGGGCCCCTGCGAACAGATCTCGCTCTATCCACAAGTCCTCAGGTACACTCCTTCAACCAACCAGCCAGGCAAACCTGACTTTCAGGTCTCCCACCCACACTCATTGGACGGCTGTCCTCTCACCTGTGCAAATATGAAAGCGGGAGAAAGATATAGCGAGGGGAGGGAGGGTGGGGGAGAGTGAAATGGAAAGATATCCCAGTCTTTGGTTGCAGGGTGGGGTGCCTAAAAGAATAGAACACAGCTGAGCAAACCTCCACTGCCATAAGACTTCACCTGTGTGCTCTCAACTTTTCTTCTGTCTGTTTTCTCCCTTAATCCATTCTTTCTTTCTATAACTGGCCCGACAGCAATAGAGAGCAAAGGCGTTCTTTTATTGCTGCTGAATAGAGATTTCCTTTGAGGTTATAGAGTTGATACACTCCGTAATGCCACTTTTATGCAATGGTCACAATGGACAGTGATTTACTTTCTGCCTCAGGGGACACATCCTCTCTTTAGAAGTCCTTCCGTGTAAGTGTAGACATTAGATGGATATTATAGAGGAAATCCTTTTATCTTACAGTATCCTGAGTGGTGTTCACAAAATTTAAAATTAACTCCATAATGGCTACCATTGAAAGTAAAAAAACTGAGGACACATGAGTTCAGCCGGTAGGCCAGACGGAGGCATGTTAAGCTAAATGCATAAATTTATTTTCTATTATTTTAAATGCATTTAAATCTTGCAAGGCTCATTGGTAAATGCGATGTTGTCCTGGTTCACATTAATCCTAATAAACAAAGATTGCTGAACAACTTAACATTTTTGTGCAAAGAACATCCCCATTATTCATAAAGCACAGTGTGAAGTCTGATCAATTAAATAATGTTTTTTCTTTTTTTTCAAGTGGAATTGCGCCGTATGAAACAAAACTTTGATGCACAAGTTGGACTTTTATTAGATAATTTCCTTAATTCACACAGGGTCAAAATTATAAATACAGTCTTAATATAAAGAATATAAAGTACTCCATCTATGTAATTTCATCCACTTTGTGCAATGGCCTAAGGTTACCATCACTGGCACAACCATGGACAAGACTGTTGACTTGACAGTTGTCCAACAAAGTCACTGACACTTTCCATAAGGAGGGCAATGGTACAAGAGGTCATTGCTAAAGAAGTTGGTTGTATACATAGCCCTGTATGCAAGCATAATAACAGATGTTAAGTGAAAGTAAAACTGTTTTAATAAAAGGTGTATAACCAACAGAAATTTTCTCAGCTTGTAGAGCCGGCCTAGGCCACGAAGTAATTATTTGGATAGACTTAATTTGCTGGTGTAGGTCTACTGAGTTTTATCAAGGCTAAATGATAAATTTAAAGCACTTCATGATTCCCTTTGTTGACAAGCAGGACTTGGCACATGCCTATGAAGTTAAAAATACATATTAATGATCTCTAAACCCTAATCATTAATATAAAAACACACAATCACTTGAAATAAAGCACCTTGTGTGTAATAAAAATATAGAATTTTACAATCTGAACTAAATTATCTAGATAAAGATGAAAAATGATAAAACGATTCATTTCTTTAAAGGGTGAGTGTATGTTAACATTTCAATCAGCAGTTAGTTTGCATTTTTTTACTCAATAAAATAAATAAGTTGACTGCTACCTTTACTTTCAATCTAAATTTACCAGATTAATCAAAAAAAGGTTCTAATGCATAAACAATATCTTATAATTAAACAGCTGAGGACATTTATTGGTTTCATTTAATTGCAGCAGAGTGGTAACTTTTAGGTTATGTATTCGTTTGCTTAAATATGGGATTTATGTGCTTCCCATTATAATTTATTTAATAAGGTGGCACCTAAAACCAACTAAACCCCAGGAAGTTCAAATCATAATAAAAAGCCAAATTGTGTGGACAGCTGTAGGAGAGACAAACTATATGAGCACTGCAAATAGACTTTAAACGCATTCCTGGAATGTGTGACTACTGAAATACAATGAATTCATCAGCCGCGATGCGCCTGGCTGACTTGGCGAAGCAAAAACAAGTCTGCCCCACATGCCTGCTGCCTGTTCTGTGGTGGAAAAGATGTACAGATATGAATCTTAACTCAAAACATGAAGAAGAGAACATAATAAAGTGTAACAAGTGGAAACAGTGACCACCCAGTGAGATGCAAACAAATAAAGGTACATAAATATTTAACTGGAGATTATTATCCTGATGTGTTTTGGGCTATGCTGATGGGCTTACTCAGTGGATGTGGAGTTAATCCAGAGACAGAGTTAATTTCCTTAAACTGTGTTGGGAGCTTATAATGATGGTCAGGAATAAGTGAAGCTTGTCACATGAAGGCAGGTAGACTCACACCTATTTGCTTTCTGCCTCTTCAGTTTTTCCCCTCTCTCCTGTGCAGGTTTGGGCCTGAAAGACGTGCCAGACCTGCTGCCAAAGCCTTGGCCTCCACCTCACCCTGCAGACATGGCTGTACACACACGCATATATGCAACTCAGACAAACTTCAATAAGTACATATTGGGGTAAACATGAATGTCTTGTTATTATTAATTTTTTTTTTCAGATTAGAAGAGCAATCAACTTATTTATACTTCCTCAGAAATATGCAATCATACTTTGACTTTCTTATCATTTCTACACTCTGACTGTTACTGGTGATGGAGTTGTCGCACAGCCTCATACCGCATGTGCAGACTTAGTCACAATCACTGCAACATTCACACGGTTCCCTCTAGAGACAAACGTAAACAAACATCTGATTTGTCAGGCCTGCCCTATTTTTAAAACGGTAAACACCCACACACATTCTCCCATGCTTGGTTACACCCACTGCAGCCCAGGCCATGCAGCAGGTCTTCCCTCATAGCTGAGGATACCTAGCTCAATTATAAGGTAGAAAAATTAGTCAGGTGAGGTAAATCTCAACACCTGAAACCCACCCTTTGTCTTTAAAGTTGTTTTCAACGTTGCCCCCTCACTTAATGCTACTGCACCTACAGATAATTGTACACCGTGAGCTAGTCTTGTAATTGCATAGCGCATACCTGTCCAGGGTGTAAGCACAGCTAGCACACGGGGGCCCTTTATAAATGGGTACATTGGTGCATTTGCTTTTTTTCTTTATCATACACTCTTTTTCTATTCAACCTCAATCTGCTGTTGCTATAGATGCAATTGTTGGCTTATATAAAGATGTTTATTTTGTCTAAAATCAAAATCCTAAATGTTTAAAAACTGGCTCTTAAATGCTTAAAATAACACTTGGCTATAATGGTGAACTGATGACGGTTTGAGCTGTCAGTTGCCTAGTGAATCAGTAGAGATTTTAATCCTCTGGTTATTTTCATGGCGTGTATGAGTCAGGCTGCGTGCATGTGTTCGGCCGACTATTACACCTTCCGTAAGGCTTGCTGCAGTTAGGAGCCATTCTAAAAACACAAAATACTCACTGTGCGATATAATTTACTTTTGTACTTTTAAGGAATAGCATGAAAAGGATAAATAGTGGAAAGTTAGTAGACAGATTTAAGATGTTTAGAAGAGTGAGAGAAAGTGGAACCAAACAGACTAGGGGAGAATAACCAACTAATCTTTACCTGGCTGTTCTAGGGAAAAGCAAAGTGAAATAAGAAGTGGCCACAGAAGGTTGTCACACCAGGTCTGTCTACAAAAATAAAACAAACAAAAAAAGAAAACAAGAAAAAAAAAAACAAAGAACTTTAAGCTATTAGGCTAATGTGACCTCATTATAGTGATTAAACAATGCAGATCCTGAGCTAAGGCCACAAGAGTTTGTTTTATACTTTCTAAGTCTCACACAATGCAGCATTTGCATCAGTCTGACAGGATATTTAGGAGTAGTTAACCATAACTACTCCTGTTTTTGTACATTTTCAAATCAAATTTGTTTCTGTAAAAATGGGCTGGTTTTAGACTTCACTGATTAGACATTACATTATGACCCGATTGTTTGTTGAAATAAATTTTGCTGCCAAAAACAATCCCGATGTAGAGGTTTGGACTCCTTTATACAAATAAAAAGGTTTTTTTTGACTCAGAGATACACATTGGATTGTGGTGTGAGGAAACTGGATCTGAGGTCGACAACCCCCTGAAATATTTTGCCCAGAAATATTACGTTAGAAATGAAACTTTGTCCGATAAATAACACTGACTCCTGGTTCCAGAAAACTTTGTATATTACATCAAAAATGTGATGCATTGATAGCCTGCTGATGTAGACCCCACAAAGCATAGCTACTGTTATGTCAGTAGCTAATAGTAGATCTAAATAAAAAAACAAAAACAAACTAGCATTAAGTCTTTCACATCACTTTGTTTCTCATACTGTATTTTTTCAATCTGATCAAAGACTTATCTTTAGGTAGACCTTCTACCTTTCCCACTGTCTGAAAACCCTGTTTAAACTCTGGAAGAGTCAGCCTTAAGTGGCAGTGGGAACAGCTCACTTATCCCCGTCGACCTAGTTCAAACGTCTCAGTAAGAAACCCAGGGTGAAATTGCCTTCAAACGGTTCGGCTCAGACTGACATATTGTGGGAACATCAGATCCAGGTCAAGCCGCTAATTTACCTGATACTATAGAGCACAATGTACGGAATTCAACTCATTGCACCCATGGCATCTGATCTAACGATCCTAAAGAACTCTGCTTACATTGATGAACATGGCGCAACACTGGTAAGAGAGTATCGGACAGATAAAAGTGTGAAGCAATAAAGCACTATTTCTATGCCCTGGCTCCCTTCAATGTTGTTCTTCATTGTTTACTTTCCTGATTTTAGTTGCACCGATTACATCATCAACGGTAACCCAGGCCATGCAGTAGTGTTAATTTTAGCAGCCATTTTTAAATTTAGTTTTAGTCTTAGTCCAGTTTCAGCATCGCTTGTTAGTTTTTATCACATTTAGTCGACATCATCCCATTTTTATTTAGTCTAGTTTTAGTCGACTATAAGTCGAGCATTTTAGTCTTTATTTTAGTCCAAGAAAACATAATTTTATTAGTTTAGTTTTAGTCAACAAAAACCGTCAACATTTTAGTCTAGTTTTAGTCAGAACATAATTTTAACCTTTTACTTTTTTGTCAGCAGATAATATTTAACATTTCCTAAAATTATTTCACATTTCAACATTTTCTCTCATCTTTTTGATAAAACCCCCCCCACTATTTTAAGGAACACATGCAGACATGGAAGATGTTCTGACAATATTTGCATATTTATTTTGAACATTGTTAAGGTTTAAAGACACAAACACAAATGCTTGCATTAAAACAAATAAAATACACCTGACAAAGGAAACAAATAAATAAAGTGTTTTATGAACTTAACACAAGTGCTGGCTGTTTAAAGCTAGTTCACATAGAATAATAAAATAAATAGATAGAAATAAATAGATTTGAGATCAATGATGTGAAAAAAATAACTCCAACTGATACAACAAAAGTGCTTTCCTGCCAGCTAGTTCACATGGTTTATAAAGGTACAGTATTTATGTGAAACAAGGCATAGCTTGCTGGTCCTGAGAGTCAGCTTTGTATTTGGTGTGGGCAATTAAGGAAGCTTGTATAGCTGGCCTTTCATTGTTTCTGGGTGGTTGTTGGTGGTCGGTGTATCTTCAATCTGGAACAGAAATTAATACAATGTCAGGATAGATGCACAGCGTAACAGGAATTCCAAGTGTATAAGTAGCATATAGGTCTCTTTTTTTCCTTAACAACAACTAAGTCTGTGTAAAAACTACATTTGACAATCCATTTCAAACTCATACAAACAACCTACCGTAACTATCATTTTATGCAGGAATAAATTGCAGACATTTTTATGTGTGCATGCATTTTGGTTGTATTAATATTGATTAATATTGATGTTTGCATCCAAATCCCTGCAGTGGTTCCCCTAGCAATGGCTATTTTGTGTATGAAAATCTAGGTTAAAGTTGTTCTGAATTATGTGTGGCATATTATTTTTATTTTCTTATCCTGATACACACTGTCAAAGACCGATAGTTTCAGTTGGTTTTAGCATTTAGCATACATGTGTAGCTGCCGAGGTGTTTTGTGTTAACTATAGTTCACTTGCTGCTCCTAGTTTACCTAAAGCGTCTGTCTGCTTTAATCAAACTTGCAATGTAACTGAAAGTATAGTTGCCCGGCCAGTATAACATATCTAAGTTCTATCAACAAGTGGCTACGGTCGCTACGTGCTAACAAGCTAACGTAACGTAGCCAGCCTGGATACTAAATGCTATGAAAGTTAGCCAACACCAGTTAGTTTATCATTAGGACATTATAGCCGTTGATTTAATGTTACATTATAAACAACCACCACCAATATTTCTGTTAACTTACCGTAATGTCTTTGTGTTGAACTGCGACGTGTCTCTTCAGGTTGTGTTTTTTCCAGCTACCATGTGGCCACATTCCTTCCCTTCGACTAAAATCAAGCATTTGGTTTTGTTCTCCAATTCAATGAAGTGAAAATGTGTCCATATATCACGTCTCCTCTTTCTCCCGAGCCCCAGAGTAGGCTACTCTGTGCCGCCCGCTCCAGGTTTGAAAGTGGGTGTGTGGAGCTGACGAGGCGGAGCAGGAGATAGGTTTTGAAAAAAACATAAAATAATAATATGTAATTTTCGTCTCGTCTTTGTTCGTGAACTAAAATGTCCATAGATTTTAGTCCAGTCTTTATTTACCGAACTGCATTTTCGTCTCGTCTTTATTAGTCCACGAAAATTATTTCTGATTTACTCCCAGTTATTGTTTATTAGTGGGGATTTTCGTCTCGTCTTGTCTAACTTTCGTTCGGTGAAAAAGGTGCGTTGACGAAAATATTTTCGTTTAGTTTTCGTTAACGAAATTAACACTACCATGCAGTTTACCTTCAGGAGGTCAGAATTAGCTTTTTTCCCAAGAGAGGGGGAAGGGAGAGAATCAGAATCAGATTTATTACCAAGTAGGCTTGCACTGCGAAAGCATTTGACTTGGTGTTCATGGTACAGACAAATTCGATATATAAATGCTGATTGTTAGCAGGTAGACCCTGTTAACCTGCTAATTTCAAGGGAAAGAGGCTTAAGGTTTTCTGTTAGCCAATTTATTGTTAGCCAAAGGACTATATCCCCAACTGCACTTCTTCCAGAACTTTAGTCACCTCCTTTGTTTCCTTCCTTTTATTACTGGACAGACTGATTAATCCAAGTGTGCCTGACCTCAGTAACCATGAACCAAATGAGCTTGCTTAGTTTTAGAAAGTAGTGGAGCTGGGCATTTAACTAATTCCATCAATGATGACAAGTCATACTGGTACACAAGCAACTAAGTATCCCTGGACCATCATTCAACCACCACCATGCTTCCCTGTTAGAATGCTCCTTTCTGAAAAGCAACAAGTTTCAAAACAGATGTAACAGGATCCTTTCCAATCATCAGTCAGCAGAATATTCTCAAAACACTATTAATCAAAGGATCACCAAGATGTTTAGGAAAAAAGATGGATCTT